TCAAAGTTGCTCGTTGTGCTATTTGCATTTGGAAATGCATTTTTCTCAGCTCTATCATTTCATTTAAAAATTGGATTTTTCATCCTTTGCCTTTTTTTTGGGGTTTTTGGCCAGCACTTAAGTTTTTGGTAAGCCATAAAAGTTTGACAGCCTTTTTGGCTTATGAGAGGCTTGAATAATGCATTGATTTTACTTGTCCTAAGGCCAGCTATAAAATGTAAGCCAAGAATGCTTTTAACAAGTACAACAAGTACAACATTATAACTAACGTTACTTAATTATTATTTTATATACTATAAATAATGTTAAGCCTTTTCTTTGAATAACAATTTAAATCAGAAATACCTTTTGGTAAAGCAAAATAGGAGACAACCTTCTAATAAGAGTATATTTAAAGCCATAAAACATAGCAGGATTAGGATTACATTAGCAAAAGGCTTTGCTGGAAACCTTAAAATGAATTTCAAAAATCATAATCCCCAACAACTATCGACCTAAAATAATAATCACCCTTGCAAATACAAGCCAAGCAATTTGCTTTCACAGCTTAAGAACACAAAGTTAATGCAAATTGATTTTGAAGAAATACATTTGAGATGCATTTAAGCAGCTTTTGCCGAACTGAAATTAATTCCCTACGGACATCTGTCGATATTAATTAATCCATTTGGCCTCAATATCTCAATACATTGCGCATACGCATCGGTGTCCCAGCAGGGAGCCGTAATTAAGTGCCTTAATGCACAGGCAAATCAACTTTCAACACAAGCTCACACACGTACTCCGGCACGAATGGGATTTTTATTCAGATAGGTATTAAAGGGGCATAAACAATAAGTGAAACTGCAGCTGACAGCACGTAAATATTTATGAAATTTTCACAACAAACAAAATCTAACTAAGGCAAATAAATGCTTGCAGGCATAACCGTATTATAAACTGCAATCGAAGCCTTTACGCATAGACACACAAACACACATCGATTGGTTTTGAGTATGGCAGGATGTTAGCAGGACTCTGGGAAAATAGGATATTCGTTAGGAGGGCAGGACACGTGCCGCCCTCGAGGACAATGTGACCGATATGCAAAAGTTCCAACCACAGCAACGGCAAAGTTGAACGAAAGGATGTGCTGACATTGTCCAGAGACAGTTACCTGTGATATTTTGTGAAATGCCAAAGGAAAACACAGGGCCAAACCGAGACAGTCCCAATATGCACCTGGCGATTGGATGTGGGGGCTGCCGTACAGGCCGACATCATCTAGACACACTCACACACACACACACACTCCCATAAACAGGATTATGTGTCTCGGGGGGTTATGTAAGTAAGCTTCCGTTGTAAATTGATTTTGTAGCAAGCCGGACACACTGAGGGAAAATGAAAAGGATTTTATCCACTTATTGTTGCCAGAGGTCGTGCCTGGCCACCACCTGAAATGGAAACTACAGAAGTTTGCACAACTGTCGAATTTTATAGGAACACCTGAGGTCAGAATAGTATATATTGAGGAAAAGATAAATGTTCGTAGGAGAAGTTAATTGCAGAAATATAATCATTAACTAGCAGAAGTCAACACGTTAAACAATTTAAAACATTTAAAACTTATTATAAGTCTTATAATTTAATTTTTATAATTGGTAGTTTTATTTTCTTGACCCCGTCTGTATATATTTTACATTACATATTTGGGTCGAAGAAAGGAGGTCCGAAAGTTGCATGAATGAGCGATCTGCTGTGTGGAAATATTTTTAATTTTGGCATAGCTCTGATTTGATTGTGTCTGGTCGAGGCGAATCCTGCTGGTCGTCCTGAGAATGTCCTGTCCTTTCTTTTTTTATCTTTCTTTTTTTTTTTGTACATTCTGCGGACTGGAGACAATTTTTCGCTTTGTTCGGTTGACATTTGCCGGATGACTGAAGGACGGGTTGACTATCTCTCTGCTGCCCTCTGTCAGCGTCTATGCTTTTGATATTGATGTCCTTTGAAGTGTTTTCAATTAGTTTGCATTTCGCTTGTCGTTTTCCCTTCACTCTTTGCCTTCTTACAGCGGTCTTCTTTTTGCACTAGGTATTTGTGGGTAACAGGGAGGAGTTAAAGAGAAGAATTTTCAGACCTTATTAAGTGGTCAGAGAAGGATCTTATATTTATAAAGGAAAACATTAAAACAGAGCTGCTATTTTCTGGCAAAACTTATAAAAATGATTTGAGTTTTAATGAAGAAAACCACCTTTTTTAAGGATGGGAACTCATTTAATAGTTCACTACTAGGTATCACCAATTCGGCACACTTCTTTGTGTTTTTTTCTTGTTTTATTTCTAAAGAGGGCAGCAGGCCCAGGACATATTAATAAAAGACAGACGACTAGGGGAATGCCCTGTGACCGTCTGCTAATTGAACGACGGGCGTCGGACTATCCAATCCGTCCGGGACTTGTCAGCTTTGCGCCAAATGAGTTTCAAAGGTAAACGGGGAGCGGAAAGCCAGCAACTACCAACTACCAACTAGCTACTGTCAACTGCACAAAACTGTCTACATGTGTCCCAAATTGGCGCTCAGTCGGATTAGCTGCTTTTTGCTACAATCTGCACCTTTCGTTCTTGTTTTTTTTTACCTTTTTGCTGCATTCGGCGAATGACAACTGCGAACAGGTGGCTGGCAAACATTTACGTAAAGTGTTCGTAGCATTCTGCCTTTTGGGATGGTCATAAATATTTGCGCTGGCTAATTCGGTGAGCATCTGTGTCGAGCTGATCTTTGACATCGTTTTTGGAATAAATTGCGAAAGGGGCTTTAGGGCTGTGCTGATGGACAGGGCAGTCGTCGGGCTGTCCTATTCCCCAGATAGCTTTTATTCAATTCTATTCCTCGCATTTCCGTTCTCCGCCATCAGCATAATTTACTCGGACTTCCGCTCTGGCTCACTCAACCCCCAGCCCCCCATCAGCATGCATATTTTATGCCTTTTATCATAATTTATGCGTTGATACAGCAAATGCATAAAATTAAATTCAATTCACACACACAGCCAGACACTGGCTCACTCTCCCAACCTTTTTGAGTTTTCCGAATGCATTCAATTTTGATTTAATGTAATTCCCACTGTGGCCGCGCCCCTTTTTGAATGCACTGCCCTGTTTCTAGCTAAGAGCAAATGATGGCAGGAATTTGCATAAATTGCATTTAATATTGGCTGCATATCGATATGGATACTACGGTGAGATCGGGTTATGCAAATCCAACTCAGACGTGGCTGATTGGATAATTGCCGGTAATCAACAACAAAGCGCTTTTCTAAGCTGCCCAAAAGCCTCACTAATGCATCGAATAAATTTATAAAGCCGAATGTGAGTTAAAATTTATCAAATTTTAATTTATAAATTGAATTTCGGACATTTTTTTTAGCAAGCTGGTCACTATTGATTTTACAAATATGAATATGTCGTGACACGATGATATAACTTGAGTTAAACGGCCATTGCGCGCCACACATCTCTAATTCGTTGTCCGTTTCTTTAGTTCCGTTATTTCTTATGTTATACTCGGATAGATAGTTTTGAGACTGAGCGAGATAAGGCTATCTGTCGCTGTACGTGGTCCGTTGTGTTGTTTAGCGTGTGTGAGTAACCGAGATGGTAATAGTGATGAAAATGATGAGTGCAGTTGATATTGTCGTCAAGAATCGCTGGCACAAGGCGGGCAGTCTAGAACGTTTACCGTAAGCCAATGGAAACGTTTAGAAAGAAAGAAATGGAATCTAACCTCATGGCTGACCCTACAAATATATAAATAAATTCTGATGAGTAAATCTGTTGGTAATAACTTTTAAAAATCGCACTTACTTAACTACTTAAAATCTAAGAAAAGTCTTCAAAATGTTTATATCATTTTGACTCCTAGGAAGTATAAATCACAATTAAGAATTCTTAACTTTTCCCATAACTTTCTTCACCACCAGCTAAAATACAAATATCTTTATAACCTTACAAAAGCCGAATTATTTAATTAAGAAGTACAAAAGCCCTGGCAATTTCATCTCTAGCTCTATTCTTCCTTCTTGGCTCGTTTTATTGAATTCGTTCGTGCAATAAAAATTTATTACCAGCATACCCAATCCGGCTCCAACTCCACGTAGACCGGACTGGACTGGACCGTAAAAAAAGAAGTTCTAGAGTGAACAAAATGAAGATGGGGATGGAAAACTGATGATTTTATCACAGCCAGCAGTTTTTCAGCTTGAACTGTGGCAATGGCCTTTTATTCAATTTGCGCGCTTCATTCAAATTGTTCGCCGAGGGAAGCGGCGAAAGAAATGCACAAGTTTTGACCGCCTTTTGAACTTTTTGGCATTCGCCACCGATGTATTATTGAGTCAGTAAATCGCCCGGCTTGTAGCCAGTTAAGCCAAACTATAGCCGACTGCTTTAATTTCAATTTAACCGGAGCCAAAAAAATATATACATACATAGGAGAGCCGAAAAAGTAAAGGCGAAGCGCCATGGGGCGCATAAAATGCGGCATTAATTTGACAGGCAACGTCTGGGTGTTAAGGCATGTGTGGAACAGTGGTGAGAGTGTGGGGCCATCAAGGGGTTAAGAGCTGTCGTTGGTGAAGCAAAAAAAAATAACAGAGTCGCGTTAGCAACTTAACGCATCATGTGGCAAGCTTGCGTTTTCGATTCCCTGAACATGGCCAAAGGCAAGACGAGATGATGACTTTTGTCACTGGGGAAAAATAAAGATTTAAAAAGAGTCTCATTTTGGAGATAAGAAACCTAAAGGAATTAAGAGCAATATTTAATTTCCTTATTCGATTTTTAAGGGAGGTTACAGATTATACTTATGATACTTATCTATGTTAGTAATGCCAACTAATGCTAAGTTTAAAGATCTCATTTAAGTGTAGAAGGTTCAAAAATTAACATGGATTAAAGGATAGTTAAAGGTTATTAACAAGTTAAAGAACCTTTTTATCTTGAATTACTTTTCGGATTTCCTTGTAGTGTGCTAAAAATATTAAGCAAGCTGACTTAAACATTCACTTGAGATATCAAAATTTAGGCACTTTTTTAAATCAAACCATAATGGCTCTCATATACTACGATCATACGATTAACTCACCCCTGGAGCTCATCCTAGCTGGATTAAAGGATGCCACGACGGGCAGCTCCTTGCGTGATCTGGCCACCTTTGTGACGCGGAAGACGGGATTTCCGGGTGAAGTCTGCTATAAGGTTATCATGGAGGCACTCGACGATGGCATGGCCTTCAAGACCATCCGCCAAGTGAACGGGCTCTTCTACGAGATACCGCCAAAACCGCCCCGTCTGCCCGCCCGTCGAAAATGCAAAATACCGCAACCAAAGCCGAAGAACGACTGTTGCGATAATTAATTCATAATGCCGAGAGTATCCGCTCGAGTGGCCGAGAAGAGCAGAGCAAACACTTTATTAAAATTAAAATTTATCTAAATTGCGACAGCAAGCTATTCTATCCGCAAAGTACTTGAACAACTTCGCCCACAGTCCTCTGACAATGACGGAAGGGTTGATGTGGATGTGGCTGCCAGTCTCTTCCCGCAAAGTAAAGTGTCTGCACCCGTTCCAGTTATTTTTCCTTATTTTCTCACATTTTTTTTTTTCATTCCCCCCATTTTCCAAAGGTGCACTTCTTGTTGCTGCAGCGTCTTGTGTCTGTCAAACGTCAGTCTTGGCGTTGTGGAGCGTTGAAATTGAAAGCTCCGCTCGTTTTGTCTTTTTGGCCAGGTGGGGCACAAGGAGAAGCTGGAGGATTCAGGGAGTGGAGTCCAGGAGTGGCTGCGCCCGGGCCTTTGCATTCTCAATGTGTCACTTTGATTTATTATTTTCGACAGCCCTCTCCAAGGAGCCCTGCTTACAGGACTCATGAGTCTAAGCAGCAGTTGAGTACACCAGGAGCAAGAAAAGATGTCAAAGTCAGTTCCTTTCACTTTTACAAGGTTATTTTGTAATACATTAAGTGTAATTTTCAGAGAAAAGAAATATTTTGATAATAAAAATGTAATGTAATGAAGTGCTTAGATTTAGCTACGATTAGTATATGATTCCAGGTACTATAAAAATCCACGAAAAATAAAATATTTGTATTTATTTATTTATTTTAAATAGTGTCTTTAGTATAGCATCAATAAATAATAACTAATTATTCTTTACTATTTAGCTTAACTAAGCCAAAAACACATCCTTTAGCCTATATTTATATGTATTTTCCCTCAGTGCATTCTGTTCTTGGGGGGAACACAACTCGTGCGCAATTTTTCATTTCCCTTTGCATTTTTTACACGCCCCTGCCACTTTGCGTTTTTATCTCATTTATTTATTTTACAATTAGACAAAGTGAAGTGCACTTCCACACGGGCAACAGCTGCACATGGGCTGGTGGTTAGGGATTGGGAATGGGCTGGGGATTGGAATTGGGTTTGGGGTCGAGGGTGGCAATTGCAATTTCAACTGCAATGTGCAATGCCATGTCCACGTCCATGTCTGGTATGTACTTTGCGGTATGGCAGCACGCCAAGGAGTCCGGAGCCTCAAACCAAACTGAACCGAATGAAAAAAAGGGATTCTGGGCGGCCTTGTGGCTGCCTTAAATCAAAAGCTTATGGGCAAACTGCTTAAAATTAACATTAAGGCTTAAGTATGCCATAGGCTCACTGCGCACAGATACGAGAAACGAGATACTTTCTCGAGCAGATACTTTCTCGCCAAGGTTGAGCTGGCAGGGCTGGCAGGCTCTGGCAGGCTGGCAGGCTGGCAATAATCATAAAAGTAGCCCGCACACAAGTCTCTCGCAAAAACTTTTCACATCGACGAAACAAATGGCAAATGGCCTGGTAGAAAGAAACACTTAAGCGCCAGGTAAGTGAAAACTCAAATAAAAATGGCAGAGGACCCCGAAAAAAAGGCGGAGGAAACTTTTACAATGCGAACGCAACTCGAGGTTGGGCTATTTTGGGGCATCGGAAAACTTCAAGCTCCCAAAGATTCAATAAACCAACTGCTGGCAGCTCTTGAAGGCAACTTTGTCAGAAGGCTTTAATTCTGGTTCACTGATGCTACACAATAGATTCCAGACATTTTTGAGCCAACAATGAAGCATGGTTTAGATGAAGAGAATATCGGTAGGGAAACAGCGAAGGCTTTAGTATTTAATTTATATTGATTTAAAAGTTAAATACGAAGTTTTGGTTAAAAAACATTGCAAAATATGAAAAAATTAATTAAGTTAATATTTTAGCATTGATTTTTAACTTTATAAAATCTTTTGTGCATAAATTTTATAATAAAAGTTCACATTATTTCGAATAACAGCAAATTCAAAGGGTAAACGGCTTAGAATTCAGATTCATTAAGTAATAGAAATGCATCTTAACCTACTGAATAAGACTGAGTAATATGCCAACAAAAGCAAAATCCGTTTCTGCCTTAAATTGTGGCATTTGCAGCACTGGCCACTGTGATCCTTTGAAGCATTAATGCTGCGCCTAGAGCTATGCAAGGCTTTATTTTTGCGACATCAGCTCTTTGAAGTCAGCATACATTTTGATTGCGAATAGCCAGCGGCTGGACATTTATAGCCTTCCGTTCAGGACAGTTGCTTTGGTTTGGTTTGGTAAGCAGCTGGGACTCCAGTTTGTCGAACTCGGATTATGAAACTGTGTACGTCTAATTGCAATTTCGGCTTCATTTGGGATGTCTCGACTTTAAGGCACCGGCAACCACTCCCGAGAGCAATGCAAAAAAAAGGGCCAAAAACTAAGGCAAACTGGAAGTTTTCATTGCATTAGCCTGGTCGGGGCAAAGTTGAAATGTCAACGCAAAGTCACACACAGATACAATCGCATACAACCAGACACACACACACTAGTGCAGAGATTCATCGAGAAATATGCAAGCTGCACACTTTCCCATTTACCATGTTTGTGCTGTCAGCTTGGCCGTTTTTTTCTGCTACAAGAATTTGAAACAAAAAATCTATAAAATTAATCAATTTTATTTCTCTTTAATTATTTACTGATTCATCATTTAAACGGTGAAATAAATTTACATTTTTCAATGCGAAAATGTTTAAAAAATGCATAACGAGCTGATAAAGCATAGTAAAGATTCACAAGTTTTTAGAGAAAATTACAAATAAATTGTGATTCCGTTCTTATCAGATTAGTTTTTAAACAAACCCACAAAAAGTTCTTAAATTAGGAGACATTAAATTCACACTATAAAAGTAATTAGCTTTAGAATGACGAGTTCAAATTAAACTTCCAACATCAATTCGTTTATTTTCAGTACTTTTAACCTTTATTTTCGTTGACTCTTACGATATTTTTGCCCGAAGTTTGTGCATCACTGTGACCCCCGCATTTCACTGGACGGCAAGAGTCGAAAAATTTTTGAAATGCGACCCAATTTTGTCGTATCGCAACATGGCAGAGTTCGACACATTTCCGCACCTAGGCAAAGGCGGGGAGAGGAGAAGTGGGTAAAAAGGATGCTCGACTGCCTGACATTCTGTCGAGCTGTGCATTTTGGCCATGTGCATGTCATGGACAGGGTGCCCCGCCCACAACGTTGTCAGCCCACTTTTCACGGCCCAGTTGAACCATCCGTCAGTTCGATTTATGTCACACAGTCGCTGGCAAACTCACGTGTGTATTTGCGTTTGCTAATTAACAAACGTTTGGTCTCATTTCCAGCCAGAAGGACATTTTTTGGCGGCCAAAACTGACTAATTACACCGCAACGTAATCAAGTGTCATGGATAGTTCAGTTCATCAGCGGCGGTAAAACGCTCTATTTAAACAGTTTACCAAGCATTTATATAGTTTAAAAAAAATTAAAGGGAAATACAAAAGCAAGCGCATAAACTTTAATATGATTTCATTTAATAATGCCGCAACTCGTTGATTTAATGGCTGTAAAGGGTTTCTCTTTGTTCGCCCGCAGGTTATTTGAGTTCAATGGAAATGCGAGCTGATTTAAATTTCAAAATTCATTAACAGCCTTTGAATGGCAGTCGTTGGGCATCACAATAAACGTTGTTGAATTAATTTTAAATTATTTCCAACGTTTTTAGGCGGCTTTTCCGTGGCAAGTGTTTGGCAGAGACTCGATCAAAAAAAATTCTAATAATTAAAGCGTTTAAATTCACATCAATATAAATTATGCACATTTTGTGTAATGAATTCTTCTTGTAAATTACCAGAATTTCCTACCTCATTCTACAGTTTACTCTAAACAAAGTTAATAGTTATTATGGCATTATTTTTCAAATAAATGTCCAATATGGTTCATTAGTGGAGAAGAGTTCACTCTTGATTTTGCTCTTTTCAGGGATATTTGGGTTATTTACTTCGTGGAAAATTAGCCAACATTTTTTAAATTTATAGTACTCAGTATATATAGTAAAAATATATCCCATTTTAAGATTTTAATTTGTATAATATTTATTTATAGTAAGATTTCAGTTTAAAAAAACTAAAAGTTGCTTAAAAGCATTTTGTTTCACAAAGTTTTAAGAGTAATTAAAAGTTTAACCTGCTCTGTTTTTCCACATTTTTTTAAGGGTGTGATGTTGAAGGGCCACTCATTAGCACTAATTCGTGTAATTAATGTGCATTTGCAATAATTAATCAGCTCCTTGAATGTGTAATAACTGCAGTCGGTACTAATTCGTGTATGTACCTATTTGCCAAATAGTCATATATTAATTTATAGTACGAAAACCACACACATGAGTATTTCACAACTTTAGAGACATATTAAATCCGAATCTTATCTCCTGCCTGATTAGTTTGCTTTTCCACAGGACATTCATTCAACAATCTTGTCAAAAACCTCAAAAAGCAATTATCAAATAACACAGAACAAGGCCTCTTTGACACAGCATGAGTTGGATTGCAGGAACACCGAACGATTCAGAGCTGAAATGGAAACGAAAACGAAAACAACAGGAAATCAAAAAAACAAAAGCAGCTTCGAGTCAAATACAAAATGAAAGGACATTAAACATGAACGAGCATTGTGGCACAAAGTAAATGCCAGGATTAAAACGGCTCTGGCCGCCGTGTGTGTGTGTGTGTCGGTGAGGGAATGCCATGACCACTCATCCAACCACCCACAAATGCAAGGGCAAGCCACCCAGCCACCGAGGTTTCAGCCTCAATGCCGCCACTTAAGCAGCGCTACGTGAGCCAAGAGACACACACGCAAATAACTGCGGGGGTAGCTTTTAATTATCTCGTTATTTTTTAATTTCCACCATTTCACTGATTTCATTTTGAGCACATCGAGCCCGACGGGCGGTCGCCTTCCTGGCCAGAAAACGTAGAAGGTGAGGATGATGCGGAGGCGGTAAGTCAGTCCGTAAGCCCGACGCCATTCGAACCTGCTGAATATGCAGAAAAGAAGGGTCTTAAGACGCAACTAATTCGCAGCTCGCTTAATTCTGTCCAGGTTGTTGTCTTGGCGATGCACTGAGAAAATAAACTACTTTATAAAAGGAAGAAGAAATCCCAAAGTAAGTAAGATAACTTAGAGTCTTAAACCAAATTCATCCTAAAATCAAAATAAACTTCCATTCAATAGTAAAAACTAAACGAACTATGAAATTAGCATTTAGTTTTTTTTCTTTTTTCTCTGTACAACAATAATTTGTTTACGCTCTAATGGCCCGGCCACTTGGAATGGCTCTTAAAGCCCCACAAAAACGACGCCGGAGTGTAAAGTGAGCTGAAAAACAATTAAGTCAGCTGGGTAGCTCAGCGACCCCAATCCCCCGACCTGTCGACCCAACAGGCCCCCCACATTAACATCAAATTAGTTCGTGGATTAACACGTTTTTCACATGCCGTTGGCGAAAAGAAGGGGGATTGGAGGTGGCAACTTCAGGAACCCAAGCTCCATTACGCATACGACATGGTGGCAGGATGCGGGGAGGCCTTTAGTTCTTTAGTTTACACTCGCCCTCTCGTGTGCAGCGAGCCGTGAGGAAAGGCTTACTACACTAATTATACTCATGGATAGCCTTTATTTTCGGGGACATGACTAAAAATACTTTCAAGTTTATTATTAACAAGTAAAAGTCTATTAAGAGCTGGCGTCCCTTCCATGCGGCATTGAGAACTGAACAGATTGTGATTGAGGCAACCAGCGTAACGAGATACAGTTTCATTGCTACAAATATAATTTTAAAACTATAATATATTCTTTATACTATTTATTTCTTAAAGAAATTTATTAACGTAGAAGGGGAGGATGATGAGGAATAAATATACATCTGGCAACATGTCAAATCCTATTATTCCCACCTCTACTGTAGGTATATATTTAAATAAAGTTTTTTGTTCGACCTGGCAAAGTTTGCAGCTACAAAATAGGCTTCATTGCTCTTTTGTCATGCCCGGCAGAAGCTGCTAGCATATCCATATATATATATACCACATAGTAGTATATCTTGAAGCTAAAATCAGTGGCACAATGAGCATATTGTGTGGCTAAAAAATTTAATGCTTACGTGCCTGAAATATCTACCGAGGCATAAAGGATGCGATTGCAATGCATGAAAGGGATATGTGAGGCGCATCGACTCTTCGGGCAGAGTTCATAAATAAAGCGTCCGAAAATCTCGGCTTTTGGCTTGGTTTAAAATAAAAGTTTCTTGACGTCGTCGTCGTCGAAAAAAAAGGAAGAGAAATTGCTTCGAAAATGCAGCACTATAAAGAAAATCGTTTACTGATTTACTCGCTGTTCTGGGAGGAGGAAAATGGTTGAGTTGGGTGGGTGGGAAAACGCTGCAACTAATAAAAGTTTTCGCTGTTCGACGGCGCGTACGGTGGTGTGCCACGCCCACCAACATACACTCGCCCTCTGGTCATCGGTTGAAATGTTTGCTGTTGTGGCTTTTCAGCAATTTCAACGCACGTCCAGTGGGGGCCACTACACAAAAAAAAGGAGAACTTAATCCGCCCAGCACTTTAATAATGAGATTTATATTGAACAGAAATTGATTGCCTCCAAGGGAGTCAATAAATGGACCAATAAACATCACATTGATCAGCTTCCCTTGGAGCAAACTATTTTAATCTTGCCTCATAAAATCAAGTCTTGGCGAGAGTACTTGAAGAGCTCTTGCAGCTCTCACTGTTACTTTCGAGTTCACGAGGTTTAATTTTATAAATCCCATTGGAAGTAAAAGGGGAAGTTTAAAAAATAATACTTTCTTTTCGCAAATTTAAGTTTTAGAAAATTAATATTTATAGTTCTTAAGTTTCCTATATTTAAAGCCTCTAGATAAGAAAAGATAAAATCAAGAATATTCCTTATATTTAAATAACATAGAAATCAAATTTATAGATCCGCTTGAGAAGAGAGTCAGCAATATAACTTCCTTTAAACTGTTTCATCAACAATTTTCTGGGATATCTGGGAAAGTAAAAGTGAAATTTCTGTGCAAAGGAGTAAGTGCGAAGTAAGTTTTACAACACTGGACAATACGTGTTAGCGACACCTATCGCTGGTTTACATGTCAAAAGAAATATTCATATTGACACTGCTTTTCTACCTTGCTATTTTCTGGCGACACCTGGCGGGTAAACTTACGTCGCACTGCTTTTCTATAAGAAGAACTGCTTTAAATATATGATGGCTGAACAGTTTGATGTATGCAAGCCAAAAAAAATAAAGAACATTTAAAAAAAAAGGTAACTTTTAAAACAATTAAAATTTATTTAACAATGTAATTTTCCAAAATTCAAACCCATTATTTTATTAAATACTTTTATAGTTTCAATGTTCTTATTTATTTATATATCTGAAGACAAATCCATAAATATTTTTTAAAACTTCATTATTTGCTTGATTATTTAACACACTCAATCTTTATTCTGTACATTATTTGCTGTATTATATTTGCTCTCCGCGGTCTCAACTGGAATGCAAACATACACCTTCCCTCTTATAAAACTAGACTCTTACTAATCAATTTGCCATCCCTCGCTAATCGTAAGACGATGCTTGGTATCGTCTTTATCCATAATCTTCTTATGGGTAAAATTGATAGCCAGGCCCTTCTAGGCCGCTTGAATATCCATGTACCCCTTAGGATTACTAGAAACTATATTCCTCTATCCTTAGAGCATCGTAGTTCGAACTTTGCCCAACATAAACCATTTCGGGTACTATGTTCAAACTACAATGATCTTTATAAAATTACTTCTAACTCTTCTCCTAATACTTTGAAAGTTTCGATACTAATCCATTTAGCACAAAACTAACTTTCCTCGTATCTTTACTAATCCACTCGGATCTATCCCCGTGTTCCGAGCCGTACGTCAGACGGCAAAGCCACTCGGTCGCTTGGGCGGGAGGTGGGTTGCACGTCAAGACCTACTTTATAATCCTATAAGATAAATAGTGGTATTAATTGCATATGTCCCAATCCTGCCTTTTTCAAAGTCTCTCTGTGCATGTTAATATGCAAATTTCAGTAATGTTTTCCCTTTAATCCATACTTGATTTATATTTTAGGTGAGGTGCGGAAAAGAAAAAACATTAATTCAGAAATACTTGCCACGGATAAGGAAATCCAAACCGACGATATGAACGCCGGGAAAAACAACTCCTTTCGATAGTATCATTTCCTGTTTGGCTAACAACAACCTGCTAACAAAGCCCAAACCAGAGCCAAAAGAAACGCAATTAAACTGGCTAAGTAACATCCAGTACTCAGTACCCAGAACACCGCTGTGAAAAGCACTCAAGAATGCGTCCGACTACAGCCAGCGGAAGTGACATTTTGCCATTTTGCACATATTCAATTAGGTGGATTTGCTGGCGAGATAAATTGATTAATTTGCTCGTGCGAATCAATCAGCCTCACAAAATCCAACGTACTCGTATAAATACGGCAAGAACTCTGCAATCTAGAACCAGTTTCCAGCAAACAAACGTGTTGCCAACGTACTTTTTGTCTAGAAACTTCAAACGCCCACACACCTTTTGCTGTCAAACAAACAGTCAACTACCGGTAAGTTTCAAGTACCTACGTCACTGAGCCGAAATCTTTAAGCCTGGCTCAAAAGTGTCACGCCCACAAATCTCTGAATTTGTGACGTATTTTTATCATTACTCATACGATCATGGCGCGTGTTGCCAATTAGTTAGGAAACATACAATTTGTGTCGCATAAAATTAACATAACTATAAAATTTCCCACGATATAGTTGATTTTTGTGCTTAATTTTTGTTGTATTTTCTTTTCCATATTTTGTTTTGTGAGATTCGGAATGGCATAAATTGCCATCGAAACCAGTTGGCGGCGTGTCCGGTTGGAGGCAGGACAAAAGAATTTTATATTTTACTGGGGCGTAACTTATTGTTGCGGCGGCATCTGGTCTTGGATCCGTTCTACGCTTTACATTTTAACCATATTTTTACTGCATTCACAGCGCCATTAATTAATGGGCTCGCCAGTCGCATACGATTTGCATTCATTACGATTTCAGTTCAGTTCGGTTAAACTTCCTGCTACTAGAGAAGTTTTTTTTTTTATTCGAAAAAGAGCTTTCCGCTTAAGCTACTTTCTTTCCCAAGTTCGGTGAATTTTTTATTTAATGTGCTCTTGAAAATCGGGGAAATTTTTCAAGTCATGCGTTTAAGGAATTTGCCATTATGGATTAACAGAAAATGGCATTAAACGTTACACGTTAAAAAGTCAAGAAATAATATTAGTTTAGTTTAGTTCTTTTCTCTTTTTCTGTAAATTGTTTAAATTTCATAAAATCCCTTTTATTCTCAACAATCAATCTCTCAAAATTTCAAGCTTAAAACTCTTATTTATAAATATTTTTTTTCTCTGTAATATATTAGTCGCGCTTACCATTTAGCATAAATTCCGTTTAATAAAATGCCTGCTGCTCATCCATTCATCGGCCATTTAAATGTGTTATAAAATCTGTTCAAATAATTATGCAAAATTCAACAAACTCTTTTTCAATGGAGAAACATTTTTTAATATTTTGCGTTTTGCTCGGGAATTTGCATACGCTTAGCAACTATAATGGCTATTTGATTGAGTTTGTATTGATTTCGATTGGCCCAAAGATCTGACGTATTTTAGCGCCACTGGGGCTGGCCTGTCGATTCGAGTTCGAGTTTCCTCGCATCTGCGACCGGCTCAATAGTTGCTTTTTTATTATATTTTTTTTTTTTTTTTTTGCTTTTTTGCTGCTGCCGTCTCTGGCTTCTTTACTCCGTTAAGCTTTCGCATCTGCGTTTGGGCCGAGAGCATATGTATATAAAATAAGAAGACAAACGAGCGATAATAATTATTTCCACTCCGCTCTAGACAGACAACGGTCGCAAGTCAGTCAGCTCTCCAAGCAAATCGATTGCCATCTCAATACCAAATTACCAAAACCATCATGAACTGCAAGCCCTTGATTTTGTGCACCTTTGTGGCAGTTGCAGTTTGTCTGTTGCATGTTGGAAATGCACTGCCCGCCATAAGTCGTTATACCCATAAGAGATTTGGTAAGTTTTATTACACATTTTACTGATTTCTGTATGCTCTTTTACTAAATGAATTTTATTATTTTTGTATTCCCTTACAGATTCCATGGGTGGCATTGATTTCATTCAGGTTGGTTTTTATGATAAGTTCAGGTTTTCGAAACTTTGAATATTAATCGTTTTCTGGGATTTTGTGATTCCTTTAACTGTTTAAAGTAAAAGCTATTTTTAATTAAAAATATAGAAATCTTGTAAATTAGCAAAAATTATTATTTGAAAAACATTTATTAATCCTTTCAATTTTATTTATCTAACAGGTTTGCCTTAACAACTGCGTCCAGTGCAAGACCATGCTGGGTGATTACTTCCAGGGACAGACCTGTGCCCTATCCTGCCTCAAGTTCAAGGGCAAAGCAATCCCGGACTGCGAAGATATTGCCTCTATAGCGCCGTTTCTAAATGCACTCGAGTAGATCGAGTAAGAAGCGTCTTTAGTGCGGTGTGCGGAGTGTGTGCGGCGATGTGTGTGCTTTTATGGCCTGTGAGTCAGGTGTGGATTTGGGTCAATGATGCGATGCTCAACACGATGCTCAAGTCTTGGCGATCTTGGCCGCTGATGTCGACCACAACGATGATGAAATGACTTTTGCTAAACAACTGACTTCCCAGCGCGAAACCAAAGAGTTCCTATTAACTTGTAATTGTGTAGTAAATAAATAAATTCTTAAGAAAATATTTGATTTTTATGTTGTTTGATTAATCGAGGCTTACAAATGGTTTTAATTTAATTCAAATATATTTTATAGAAAGAACTTACCCTCGAAGACTTAAGAAGTCGTAGAACTTCATAAACATATTATGTAAATATTATTCGAAATAAGCTAAAACTTACCTGCTTATTGTTAACCTTTTTTTCTTATACTTCTAGGTAATTATTAAAAACATTTAATGAGTTACTCACCCAAAGAAAATGAACAAATTTTGTTTTTAAATTTTATTTAAAAAATACTTGCATATACAAAAACTTACATCGAGACATATTTTAAAAATTATTTATGTTTTCTTTATCGTTTTTTTTTCTGATTGCTTCGATATGCTTTAACTTAAAGGCGCTATTTCTGCTATTTAATAATAATATATACAGAGAATGTATGGTTCATGCATGGAAATGCTGGAAAGAGCTCTGAAGAAATGGCAGTGTCAAAACTACTGACTGGCTATAGAAATGCGGATGGTGAGCAAAGACTAGTTAAGAGACTAAGCAGTGAGAAGAGGAAATGTATATAGACAGATAGAAGTCAGAAGATATAGATATGAAGTCCAAAAAATGAATCGAGATTGTTAAACAAAACGTGGAAAACACAAATGGCATTTACTTCCTAAAGTTCAGTAGCGTGTCGGGAATTTCATTGATGTAGTTCTGAAAAATTATAGTAAATTTAGTAATTTATCTGAAAAGTTGAATAAATTTGTAACTTACGTATATAGAGGGATCTACGCCATGACCTCCAAAGTCTGCCCATTTAGTCAGATCAATTGATGGTATAATACCACTCTTGCAAGGTACTCGGGGATTGCTAAAATGAGTTAATATTATTAGTTGTTAGAGAACGCAAGGAGAACCCAAGATTAAAACTTACATTTCATGATCTGGCAAGACCATGGGATAAATCTGGACAGTATCAATCAGATCGGTGTTGTCGCAGATCAAGCGGGATAGCTTCGCCTTACGAATCTCCTGCAGTTGCTCGGGTGTGAAAGATGAGGGCTGGTTGGGCAACTCATACCAGAAACGATCTCCGCGACGCAAATAACTCATTTGGGTGGCAATGACACAGGCAAAGGTAGGCCCCAACATCGAGCCAGGCAGGGATTTCTCAGAGACGCCACCAGACCAAAGATCAATATCAGCAGGATGTCTAAAAAGGATTAGTTTAATATAAACTGAATATTAGTAAAACTCCCTAAAAACTTACTCGAATATGCTGCCATATCGCAGAACCGTCTCATTGGGCATGGATCCATACATCTCATCCCAAGTGTTCGAGGTTGGAAGACCGCAGAACTTCCGGAACTCCATGTAGCCGGGTATACCAAATTCTCGGCCACGCTGCATATTAAAGGACACCAAATCCATTCCAAAACGAGCTCCCTCCTTCTTGAACAGATGATTGGTAACCTCCTGGGTAATCGAGTCATCCATAGCCTGTGCCACTTGGTTCATCAGACCCATGAAGTACTCATCTAGGACTCCAGCACGGTACAGATCATAAGGTCTCCTGATCAAGTCCGACAAACGTTTCGAGGCAATAAACTTGTGGGCCTTAGACCAGCGTTCCACGGCCGTTGGCAGTAAGGAGTGGCCAAAACGGAATGCAGCTCCGGCAAAGGAGTCAATAATTCCAGGGTTTACTGTAGGATCGTAACCATCCCAGTAACCATCCTTCTGCAGAACCAAACCGAACTTCTCCATCACTTCCTTGCCCAGTAGAATGGGCAAAAATTCATTGAAAGTAACATGTTGAACTATGGCGATATTGATGCGTCTGGCCTCTTGGAAGAGGGTCTCATCATCCCAGTGCTTATTGATCTGTGATAGTCCGGTGGCCAATCGATTGTGTTCACGGGCCATCAAGGTGTGCATACAGGTCAGCACCAGCTGCTCATTCACACGAATTTCACCGCCCTCGAAACAGTACATGCTCTTGTTGGGGCGAGTGCATCCCTCATCGGGAATGTCCAACTTCAGGGGCAGCAGATCCTTCAGACCATACTCCTGGAACACAGGATTCATGCGCATCAGACCTCCATAACCGGTTCTCAGCTTGCGGGCAAAGGCTTCTTTCACTCCATAAACCGTATTGGCATCGATGACTCCAGTCAAGGTGTTGAATTGCTGACGGGATCCTAGGAAATAATAAGTAAGAAAACCATATAACTATAGATTCTCTTTTTTAGCTCGTTTTCAACATCTATATTTTAAGTTTTGACATCATATAATATATATATTTTCTACCCCCTGACGATATGAAAACTCACCTAATTTGCAACCTGGTCGTGGTGAAGGGAATCCGCGCACAAAATCAATACACTTGACATTAAACAGACGGTAGAAGTAATCATCATCGGGAATGCGGATCTCATTGCAGTATGGATGCTTCAGATGCAGCGGTCTCTTGCAACATTCCTCAGGGTCATTGCGGTTAATGGGATCTGAAATCAAGTAAGATTTTAAATGAACATTTAAAAGTCATTACGTTACTACTTCTATTAGGAAATATTTTGTTATTTAAACCCAAATTTACATTGAGATAAGAAATATATATATACAAAATCCTATAGTTTACTCTGATATTTAACTTACCCAGTGGCGTTCCCGTGAGCGTGAAATCGTGATCCATGAACTGGCCCCAGGCGATGACCATAACGGTGCCCGCATGATCGTGGAAGCCGTCGTCGGGATGCATTGTGCGTGAAACCACTCGAGAGAAGGGCAAATCCCGACCAGTCACCGAGATCCTGGGGGCGTTGATACCATCCGAATAAAGTGGGCCAATCAGACGCTGGAACGGAGCATTGGCTGCCCCCCAAGTTGGATGCTCGATATTGTTGCACAGACCATCGAAACGTCGGTATTTTCCCGGGCGACACTCAACACCGGCGAAAAAGGGTGGACAGACCTCACGGATCAACGTCTTTGAGGTATCAATCGTTGGCAATCCCTTCTCAATTTCTTCATACGATAAGCCATACCTGAAAAGGAAATAATTTATAAATGGAATTTAGACGCCAATCAAGAGTAATTATCACTTCATTTTAACGCAACTGCGGATATCGCTAAACTTGGCTCTTTCCTGCCACCAACTTTGCGATTGTCTACACATTAAAAAATTAACACTTCACATGGGGTAATAACATAAACGGATTACTTACTAGTAAGTGTTAAAATGGTTAATTTTTATTTGCAAGTACTTTATTCTTTCTGCCTGTGTAGTCTTCAGATTTTTATTGGAAAATTGCAAAATTATCGTATTAGCCCAGTTAGCAAGCCGACTGCAATTAACGCGCTTTTGGCTTGGTCGACAGATATTGATGTTGATGCCTGACGTTGACAGTGGCAAATTTTTATACTTTCAATTGGTCTCCAATATGTTTTTTTTTCTTTTTTCTTCTAATTTTTTACCAAAGATTTTCGTGCTGACAAACTGTTATTTAGTTGGCGGAGGAAGTTGTGTGTGCCGGCACATAAATCGCCAAAGGGACCGACAATAACTCTTCCTCGAGTGCATGAGAAAGCGAGAAAAGCCAAAGGGAAACTGCGTCCGGCTGGCAAATTGTGTGAAGATGCGAAGTGGAAAACTGGAAACTGGAAAACTGTAAAGCTTCACAGTCAATTGGGTTGGCAATTTACTCGTTGAGGTTGCAGGGTCGTCCCATCAGCATGTGAAAGTACCAGAAGGGAGATCTTAAAAAGCGATATCTTTCAATCGTCCATCATTGATTTACATACATGGGACGGACGGACATTCATGCTGCTTAAAGTCGTCTCATTGTTTTCAAAGAATGGCCATAAAGCCAGGCAGCCGCCGCACTGGCCGTTTTACAACATGTTATTAGCCATAATCAAGAGATTATACAACGGCAATTCAGATGTTGCAGGTGCAACAGTTGAAGATGCTGCCCCCCCAGCCCCGGTCTGATATCGGCTTAGACGACGGTCTAAGTGAAAGTCGCACATGGGGAGGTGGTTGTGATGACGGTGAGGATGATGATGATGAGCACGGACCCGCCACAAGACTCCCAAAATGTGGCCAACTGACTTGGCAACCCGCTTACCCAGATTCCACTCCCCAGAGACCCACAAAAAATTACACCTAAATTGGCCATAAAAATGGTAAATGCAAATATCAAATAGCATGAAAATGTTTTGTAAAAATGTAATGTAAATGATATTTGTTAGGCGATGTTTACTATATAATTAGTACTTGGAAGACATCTAATTTTTTAAAAACAAGGAAATGCATATTTATGTTTTAATAATATTTATGTAATCAGCTTGTCCTTGTTTTGAAAAATAAATAAATACCTCGGCATAATTATTGGTTTCTACTCTAACAGTTGCTGATACTTTAAATCTGATTTCAAAGTCTGATTTATGACATCTTCTTAAGTTCTTATCAAACATTTTCCAGCTTCTATTAAGATGAAGTCCCACTTTTATGGCCAAATCGTTGGCTTATATATATTTTTCGCTGTGCAACAGTTGATTCCGCTGCAGTGGCCAATTGTTGGCCAACTGATCATATGGCAGAAAAAAAGGAAAAAAATCAAACTGGAAATGCTGTGCGGCATCTTCCGCAGCTTCTTTTCGAGGGGCAAGACAGTCACGCGCACTCTCACTGGCTTACTGGCTCACTGCTCGGGCTGTTCACTATTCACTGCTCGATGGCAGTTTGCGAAGCGGTCCATTGCATAATCCCCGTTTGTTTACATCTGCTGCGCTGCGAGCTCCGCAAATAGCTGCAGATATTTGTTGTTTGGCAAAAATGCGGTTGCGCCAGTTGGGAAGAAGGCTTCGACGAGCTCTCGAAGGCACTTCTCTACCTGTCAGCCACTGGCCATCAGTCAAAAACCTCTGACAATTAGCATTTGCATGTGCCGAACTTTCAAAAAAAGAACTGGCTCACACAGAAAGAAATAGATCAATTCTATATAAGTAAAAAACTATTCAAAATTCCATAAATCTGACGAATAATTGACGAAATACTTCCCTAACTTATCATTGAATCTAAGTAGAAATATTTCCTGTATATTTTTCTTATGTACTTCTTCTGAGAAACCATTAAACCCTCGACCAAAAAAAAATATCTTTTTTTCTGTGCTGATGAATTCGAATTTGAGTTCCGATTTGTGGCGAGCGTAGAACCTTGGAGGCAAGAAAAGACTCATGCATATTTGATGACTGCAGGCGGTCTTTTCAGTGGTTCAGTGGTTCAGCGGTGCAGGTTGTGGTGCACGACTTAACTGCCTTGTCATGCGTGATTTGGCAATCGTTATTAGCGCCGAGGGAGATGGAGATCGTGGGCGTGCCAGGGCAACTTTCAAATGCGTTTAGCGCTGATTACTTACGTTCGGGCCAATTGGATGGAAATGTCGAGCAGCAGTTCGCCCACGGTTGCCAGTTCCTCCGGCTTCCAGTCGGTCTTAGGCTGAGCCACATCTGCAATAAACGGATATATAAACTTTTATTAACTGATATTTGGGTAAGTAATCCAAAATTCTTAAGTTTAATCTGCAGTGCAATGGTATCAAGGTCTTCTACTTTTAAAAACCATTTCGATTTCGCAATTTCAAATTATTTATAAAGATATATATTTGATACAAAAGTAAATCACTTAAATTTTAATACAGTTTTACCAATTTACTTACGTATACGCTTGCGTGCATCCAAGTAGGCCGCATTGATGGCATCGTAGGTGATGCAAGTGCCCGGTCCATTGTTATAGGGGTTCCTGTAAGTAGATTGAAGTGAAAGTGATTTAAATTGTCAATAACAGGCAATTTGTCTCTTATCACATGCTAACCACACAACCCACATTCTCATTTTCTAGGAAGCCTGCGCACTGTCAGATAATAAAATTATTGCCAGTCCAACGCGTTAAAAAGGCATGAAGAGAGAACAAAGCCAAGTTCTTGATTCAGTCTAGAACTTAACTTGGTCAAAGTAACATCGTCAGAATGAAGCCAAAAGATTTGGATCACATTTGCAGGAAATTAGTGAAAATATTAGATAACCATAAACCGATCTATCTGGAAAGAAATCTACGGGATGTTCTACCCAATTCTTGTAAAGAGCCTTTACTTAGCCGAAAGTTAGCCAAGTTGATCAAGTTAGTGTTATTGATCCTTTTTGTTTTGTTTGTTGTAAACTTCTATTACCAAGAAATGCAAGGAAAGGTAAATATTTATTTAGTTTAAAAAATATATATATAATATATATTTAGTTTAAAAAATCATTTTTAAGACAAATTTTATTTCAATTTATACTCATAATATTCACTTTTTTATTTTAAATTCTGTAAAAAACTTTTTATATTTTTAGAGTTGTGTTCTTTCTCTGCCACGGCCCCTGCGTTACGCCCTTCGTCCGCCCGAGAGATGTGATTTTTGTGAAAATATAAAAACTGTGCCGCGCCTCCAAAACATTAGCCCCCAAGAGTTTGAAAACAAATTCGCTTACAGCGCAGCCCCAGTTATTATTAGTGACGCCACCAAAAATTGGACAGCAATTTCGGTAAGTATTCCGAAAAGGTGAAACATAACCATCTGCAATTTATAATATTTGCATATATTTAATAGCAATTTAACTATTGGTATTTTCGCGATGTTTATGCCAAGGCCAAGCAAAAGCAACACATAAGGGAGTGCCAATTTCTGCCTTATAAGACAGGCTTCTTGGACATTTACGATGCCTTGGATATGCCCAAAGAACGGGTGGAGCTGAAACCAGGTGAAAAGCCTTGGTATTTTGGATGGAGTAATTGTCATGCGGAAACTGCAGAGGAATTCCGTCGGCACTACGGTAGACCCTATTTTCTGCCAGAAAGTTCAGAAAACAATGCTGTCGATTGGTTTTTCATTGGCACCTCTGGCTTGGGAGCTCAAATGCATGTAAGTTTTAAGAAATAAATCAAATTAATTAAGTACAATAAAATTTAACAGATAATTTATTGTGAACTTAAAGTTTAGCAAATTTTTCTTAGATTTTTAGCAAGGCATGAAATGTGTTGAATGAGGTAATTACCTGACATGTTCAGATTCTAATTTGAACAGGCTATTTAAATGTAAAATTGGCTACCATTCAAGCCTCTGGCTAGCAAAAGGAATGGATCATGGTCACAAAAATCATGAGTGCCCTTCTATTTTTAACTTTTCATGTAATTAAACTAAACAGTTTCAGGTATTTATTTCTAGCCCGTTTACTGAATTTTAGTTTAGGTTTTTAATACAGCTTAAGAACAATAAAAAAGATTTATTTCCGCTTCTTATACGGAAGGTAGTGATCTACTCTTATGATTGATTTAAAATCTTTCTTCCAGATTGACAATGTTAGATTGCCGTCGTGGCAGGCTCAGCTGGCGGGCAGCAAGCGTTGGCTACTGGTTCCACCTCCCGAGTGCTACCTGCAGTGCCAAAACTTCGATGTGGTGGTCCAGCAGGGCGATATAAGTGAGAAGCTACTTCATAATAATCCTTAAAGTGCTTGTAACTAACATCTGACTCCCCACCAGTTGTTTTGGACACAAATAAATGGTACCACCAGACCTTTGTACAGCCGGGAGCCATCAGTCTGACAATTGGAGCTGAGTACGACTAAAGTTAACCGGCTGCAGGCGGTTTTTCCTCGTGACAGGAAACGGCTGCCCCAACATCTCCATTCGATTCAGCAAATAACCAAACGGACAAATATGGTCAACTGTTACTGTTACAGTAACAAACTTAACTTTAACATTGCCATATTACACTGTTTTTTGCCAGCCGGTTTGTTAATTAAATGCCAAAAACACGCAAATTTTCTTATGTCGGCCAGCTGGGGCTCAACAGCTCAGCAGCTGAGGGAAAATCTAACCAAAAATGGGGGACATAGCCACTTCCTCGAATGGTGCGACATGTAAAACGCGTGTCAGGCGACAACGATGCGTGTTAACAATGCGTAAGTATTAAGTAATTACAACAACAGCTGGAGCAACTGCATCAGCATCAGCTAGGAGCAGCAAAGTTTCGAGCAGCGGATCCCCTACAAAATATGCCCACAAAATGCACAGCAACTGGCGGTTCGCATTGCAAACACACGCAATGCAAAACCATTTCGGTTAAATGCAACATTTTTCACGAACTTGCAATCGTTTTACCCTGTCACTGGGTGATTTTCCTTTAGTATTTGAAGTTTGCAAAGAAAATCTTATGGGGCTAAAATCTGGGTCATTTTCTAGTAGTCCCACTTTGGGGTAAAGAAAAAATTTAACTCTGTAAAAAGGATACAAGGACGAAAACAGAATTTTTAGTATTATTTTTACAGAGTATCTAGTTGCCGCCTTTGGATAAGTAGCAATTTTCGTACATATTTCTTGGGCAAATTTGTCAAATTGAAATCGAAAATGGCAGTGTCTGGCACTTAACTGGTCTGCCTGTTAATTTTTTTACCAAAAAAGCTGGTGGAGAGCACTCTCGCACAAAATTTACGGGACACGGGTAAGTTCAATGTGCGCATAGCCACGGCTTTTGGGCCAACTAGAAAGTGGCTTGCATGCGGCACGCACTGCGTCATTTGCTGCAAGCCACTTTGGCTCCAATCGAATCCATGCACTCAGCTCCACTCCTTGCGATCCAACTCGTCCCGCCCCAGACACGGACTTGTACTTGTTATCCTGATTGTAAAGTAAAAACTAATGTTATGAATCCCGGGCGCTGGCGATCGCAGGTGCGCGGCAACGAAACGCCAACACTTCCTGATCGGTATTGAGTTGCAGCGGAGCAGAGCACGCGGCGTATGCGTAATATTGTGAATAATTGCAAAAGCGTGTCGTAAACTCGCTGTGCAAAATATTCAAATATCATTTATCTATGCGGCCTTTTACAATCTTTTTCGATTTTTTTCTGTATGTTTTTTTTTTTTTTTTTTTTTTTTTTGTGCAATCTTTTGAGAGAGACTCACTCTGGGGAGCTACTTCGCTTACGCAGACTGTGGAAGTCGGAGATGCAGATACAGATACAGATACAGATACATTTACAATTGCAGACTTTTAGCAGACAGACAGAGCAGAGGCCGCAACGAAAGTGGCCCCTGGCAAAACCTGTATTTAACTTTTAAGTAGGTTGCTGCAGCCAATTTTTCTGCATTTTTCCCAGCTGACTTGCTGGTCAGCGAAAAAGCCAGGTTCAATAGCCAGGCCAAAGTCAGCGATAACGACTTGGCCCGATTGGCAAGGCTCACGTTTTCGATGCCCGGCGACCCCAAAAATTAGCTTCACTTCGCGTTGACCCCCAGCACTCAAAGACAATCGACAATTGAACAATTTGCAATCTCAATCTGGATCGTGTGACATTTAAAATATGTATATCTTTCCAGATGCCATAAGTGATGCACAGGGAAAAACTAGAAGCCATTTTGGGTTCTTAAGATATAAATTCTTAACGAGCTATAACTCGAAATTGTATTTATTATTTGTTTCATAGATCAAATTGAATGATGATCTTGATTTGATTTTTATAATTTGATGCCAAATGGTTCTCAGTCTTGTTATCTTGGGGACATTTTTCCCTGTGCAGACTGAAGTTCAGTTCGGAAGGTATTTTGTGTGTTGGCAGCATTTCAAAGTCACTTTTCGAAATCATCTCGAGACAAAAGTTTGCCATCAATGCAGCTGATGCAGCCCCACGGCAGCTCAGGTGTTTTTATTTTATTTAAGTATTTTTCTTCTTATTTTTTTGTTTCCTTTTGGCATCTGCAAGTGTTGCAATGCCATTTGTTTTGGGTTGCCGCTGTTGCCTTGCTATTTTTGTTTGCGGCTTTTTGTCGTGCGGTTTTGATTTTTTTCGTTTACTAATAAATCGCGCCGGTCTGTCAGGTGACTTCATGATGCGTCCGTCTGCATCACATGACTCTGAGCCAAAAAGGCTGTCGTCGCCGATTCGAGGCCAAAAACCATTTGCTGATTGCCGTTAACGAGCCGCCACAGCCGTGACAGCGAGTGAAACGTAAGAAGCCATCATCACACCTGAGAACCCATTTTCCGAGGCAAATGTTTATTTTTACCCAAAGGTCTGTTTTTTCTTACACCCTGCTATCGAGGAGTATATAACGCGGAAAGTTGGTGGAACTGGAGTCATTGAAGTGCTGGTCAACGTCATGAGATCTTTGGTTCTAATACTACTGATTGCAGTTTGTACTGCGAATCCCAGAAGAACTGAGGATGATATTTGTCCTTTAAGCTGTGACGCGGACTATAAGCCAGTGTGCGCCATCCGAGTCAGAGGCGAATCCCCTAGCTTTTGCTCCTTTCAAAACCATTGCAGTCTGAGGTTGTTTATTTGCAACAGCAGACAAGGTAAGTTTAATTTTGAAGTGTATTTCCATCATATAAGACTTAACTTTCTCTCTAATCATTATTCAATATATACTCAGATTGGAGAATGGAGAGCAATCAGACCTGTCTGCGGCCTGTTGAAGGCTGCTCAGAAATAACTCAGTTCTTTCAAAACAATAAAGAACGATTGGTCCGAAAAACGAAAAAATATCATGCAGAAACCGAAAAGAAAAAGCTAAAAAAAACTAATTTATAAGTCTACTAAAAATTCATAATAACCTACAATAAAGACGTTGGTTGTCAAAAGTAACCACTAACTTGGCCACTCGTGTTCAGCAACAGATGCAATCACTTCGTACAGCGAAACCCCGCTAAGATATATACGAGGTGTGTTCAAAAAGTAAGGTGACTCTTCAAATTTCGCGAATTTCAAATTTTTCGATTATCGATTTTTTTGTTTTGTTATATTGGTACACTCTTCCCTAACATCTGTACCAAGTTTCAATGGAACATCCTCTTTTGTTTGGTTGTGAGAGGCGTAAAGTTACAAGTTGTTTTGCGAGCTCGGCGATTTTTTGCTATCGAAAAATATGGATCAAAGGATTTGGATTTTTTGGCCAAAAACAACACCACAATAATGCCTCAGCCACCATATTCACCGGATTTGGCCCCATGTGACTTTTTCTTGTTCCCAAAACTGAAGATAATCGAAAAATTTGAAAAATTTGAAATTTGAAAAGTCACCTTACTTTTTGAACACACCTCGTATAACTTCTAAAACGTTTCGATAATCGAAAAATTTGAAATTCGCGAAATTTGAAGAGTCACCTTACTTTTTGAACACACCTCGTATGTATATATAGTATATATCTGGTAAGTATGGGAATATCTATCCCTAGGCACTGCCAGCAACTTGGAAACATCAACGTCAAAAGGCGGTTGCCGAATGATTGCCGCTGCTGTTTGTGCTGCTAATGATTGGCTCAAAGCTCGTGTGCCGTGTTGTCGTAGGTGTAGAGCCATGTTGCCACCGCTCAAACAAGCTGAAAGAGCACAAACTAAGATTTATGGATGTCAGTCGGGCAGTTGTTCACTGCGAAAAAATTCCTACCAAATTGATATACAAAAAATCATAAAAACCACTTTGGAATTTAGAAATATTTCTAAAAATTACTATAGAATTTTATTTTTATAGGAAGGAAAGTTATTAAAAAATCATTTAGACTTTATATTGCCTTGACTTCTTCCCCTCTGTTTTTTTTCCTCTGCACAACGTTTCGGTGTCAACGTTCAAATATTTGAGCCTCAAACATAACCCAGAATGCCACCAAGCCACTTTTTCTGCAACATCAAACACACAGTTTCTATTTGTACTTACAAAGTGCCGCGGAATAGATTCACATTGTAGTCGTAGACGGAGGAGCGACCAGGTCCGGCCAGCAGAAGTGCACAATCGGAGCCGTGGGACGTCTGAAGTTGCTCTCCAAACTGATGATATTGCGCATGCGCCACCGCCGCCAGAGACAGTAGAAGTATTCTGTAAAGAAATATGAGCAAAAGTAGGCAAATTAACACGTTATGCTGGTACACATGCAGCTAAAGGAGTCACGCCCCTTTGACAAACAGCAACACGCCTGCAGCCAAAGGCATTAATCAGTCAGTCAGACAACTAGTAGGTATAGTGAAACTTCCATGGTTAAACTGCGATTTATAACTGAGAAAAGTTGTATGGAGAATAATATCTAAACATGGTTGAGATTGTAAAATAATTACCAATTAAAAGGTATTTAAATCTGGAAATTTTATATTTTAGACGTCGTTTTTGCAAAAAAAGATGTTGAAACCAATGTAACATACAAATTCTATAAATTTCTGGTAAATGCTTTTTGATTATTATTAATTTTAATCTGAATAAGCATTTTAACTTCTATAATCCCAAGCAATATATTTCAAAGCATACTTTTAGCGACTTGAAACATGACATTCATTTATAACCATAATGTAGTCCATATTTCTAGAACCACTGTTTCTCTATATAGCATTCGGTTACACATATGCAAATTCGACTTCTGTGATTGCAACTGTATGTTGCAGCTGTCAGCCGATCGGCAGTCGGCATGGAACCCATAAGCCCAGTTGGATATTGTATTTTTTTTGGACTCGCCATTGTTTCGGGCGTTTCTTTAGCTGTCAGAAATGTAAGGGGCGGGCTGGGGAATTCGACATCTGACATCTGGCAACCTTGCTTTTATTTTACGGCTTTAATGTGATCAGATTTATGACTTGCAGCGCGTGTTAATCGCTTGTTAGCTTTTGTCGCCTCACACAAAGCTGAAGACAAAAACAAAAAACTCTGTATTTTCGGGCAATTGTTAACGGCTTTTGATAAGTATTGATATTGATTGCTATTGTTAATCCCGCTGCCTCTGGCTAACAGTGAAAGTATGGCAAGATATAGGTAAGCCATGCCCCTTTTTCTTATATAACCGAAAACAAGGTTTGCCTGGGATACCCTTTAACACTTCGAGATTGAAGTAACTGGAATTAACTTAACTTAATTGAAATTTTGAAAACAATAAATTACTTCATTTGCTGAGATCACTTTAAGTAACTGCTTTCTATAACTTGTTTGGCCGCCTGGCTTAGAATTAAGTATGTGATTTTTATGGAGATTAGAAATTTTACATTCTAATTTCATGTTTAATAAATATAGATAACAAATGTATTGATCGAGCATTATGAGAATAATCCAAAAGCCAAAGAATACAAATCACAAAGATTATTAATAGGAAACTGTTTTCAAAATAAAAAGTAACATTGAAATTTCACAGCTTCTGTTAAATTAGAACTAACAAAAACTGATGGTAAATTCATATTTGAAAGAAACTTTTAATGAGGCAAACATTATGTTTACCATTTCTCCAAAATTGTCGATGATTGTTGATAATAAGTAAGGTTTTAATAGCTGGCGATACACTCAGCCATAAATAGTGAAAGTGTTTTGATTTTCATTTACCATCTATCGAGGGTCTCATTTTGACGAAGGGCGAAACTCCCTGGCTTTAGGTTTTGCTTATATAAACGCCAAGGGAAACAATAACGCACTTAAGTCCTTTCACTTTTCGCTTGACAGTTGGTTTTTTCTTTTCTTTTCTTTTCTTTTCTTTCCACTGACCAAGTACAGTGAGATACCTTTTAAGTGTATCCCATTACAAGGGTTTACTGAACTCAGCTCTCTGGCTGAAAAGATATCAATGCACCTGCATGCACTTTTGATGAATAAAACATCTGTTTATAAAATTTAATTTACAGGTTTAGTATTTCGCTTATAAAAAGCATACTTTAAGATTTTATGATCATTCGAAAGCTCAGAACTTTTCGTTGGACAACATGAAGTGTGTTGCAATATTTTTGATTATTTCCTTAGGGTTCCTTGGCTTAGTTGAGGGAGATGAACCGAGATGCCCAAGAGCCTGTACTAGGGAATTCAGTCCTATTTGTGCGGAATGGCGAAGGGGTATCATAAGACCTATTGTAAGTCGTTGTACTTTCTCCAATAAATGCGTTTTAGATAACCAAAGATGTAGAACAAATCAGAGTAAGTTAAATTTGAGTAGATTAAGTTAGGTTTATACTAACTTTAGACCTTTATAAAATAACAGATTGGGTTGTCGTCGATGAGAGAAGAAAATGCCGGAGAGAAACCCCAGATTGCGATGAGCTACGCAACTCAGCTTAAATTTAAATCTCTGGAAGACCTTTGAACAGACAATAAACTTTAACTCTTCCCGCTCATATTACATCTGACTTTGATTAATCTCGGGCCTAAAAATATTAAACAGAAGACTTGCTCACTGTTGACCAATGTGCGGTCATAAGTTTTGGTTTACAGCTAACACGATTTGCAACTCTTTACGCTCCTCGCGTTAACGGAGTTAAATGATTATTAAATCTGGTTACCAGCGAATTGCTTTCATTTCGGTTTTCGCACAACACTGAATTTGGTTCAAGGCTGCCCTTAAAATATCTACTTTTTCGAGTCCGTATGTGTGTGTATGGAACGTGTTTATGATCGCATTTTGGAGTGCCTAGTTCATTAGCCATCATGACAGGGCAATTAGAATGCAAACAAAACGCACTCGCCCACACAGATAGATTTATTTATTTGGCATCGACATCATGCCGCACGGCCACGCCCAAGCCGAAAAAAAACGCGTGCCACAAGGGGGGGGGCATTTTTTTGTGTTGTGCTGTGCAAATTTAATTGCCGGACCCCAGATGCAGATCAGAGTTGCAGGCCACTGCGTAAAGTCAATTAATTGTTGCTCGCCTTTGGGGCGACAGCTTTTGTGAAAGGCCAGCACGCAACGTCCTTCTGGCCAACCTGCCAACTGGCCAAAATCCATACAACAGGTATATATGGTATGTACATATCTGCAATTTATGCACATTCGCATGCATATGCAATCTTTACACCTGCCCGCAAGAGTCAATTAATTTCGGTTCGTCGATGGCTGGCCAAACGACTTTTACATAAATCGCAGCTATGGCTTATCTAAGTCACTTGGTCACACCAATCCGTTTCTTTCCGATGACACACATATTATGTATATGAAAATTTGAACTTTTCTAGGGAATTTGTGTATTTGCAAACAAAGAACGGGCGCAGTTGCCCAATTATAGCCGCCATATAGGTCGATCCCTGCCATATCTGTGCATATTTCTAAAGCGCATCCAAAAGTTGACATTTGCTAATAATATATTTTTTCCATAGGCAGCTCTAAGTTAATTGCCCGATGCATTGTTAGACTTTGTATGTGGCTAGCTGCCGATCGTATCGTGGAGTCTGCTCTGATGCTACTTATGTCATCTTATGTCTGTGGAATACCGAATACCTGGGAGCAGGGCTGCCTCTCTCAAATAAAGAGGGGCGTGCCAAGTGCATAGGACTTTTTGTTCAGCTCTTTCTTTGTTTACAGCTTGCCACATCAGTGGTATTGTTGTGGGTATTTCGGCTTGTATGTAAATTGCCAAGTCTTTAGTTAGTTTTTGATGTCATGAAAATGTGTGGAAATTGCTTTTGTAATGCCCAGAGAAATTCATAATTTATCTTTGCTGCCTTTCCATTGATAGTGATAAAGTATGGCTAAATGGAAATATGACAGAAATCTGCTTAGATGCTTAAGATGTCTTAGGTTTATCAAAAAGTTGTTTACTGGTTTTGATATGTGAAGACAGTCACTTTTGTTGAAAGTGATTAAGTGTGGTAAGGTGAGAATATAAAAGATAGCATACTGCTCACCCTTAGTATTAAACAATTTAAAGTTTTTCTATAAATTATTATCATATCAATTGAGGCTTATGGGAAGGTTTCTACTTACAGTTCACACCATTTTACTCACAATGTATAGATGACATTGCGAGTGGAATTTTTAATAGTTTTTATGGCTAACTAAATTTTACTTATAAATCAAAAGATTCATGCAATGGAAAATCGAAATATAACATTTTGTTAATAATCCGAATAATGTGTTGAAAGCAAAAGTCTTTGGGGCTAAACCAAATATTGTAATATCTATAAATAGAGCACATTTCTGCTGACCTCAGCTACCGTTTTAATAAAATTTAAGAGCGGCAAGCCAGAAACTCTAAACCCCTCATTAGTGATCATTTATCATTTGCCTTAAAATAACCAATACTAAAACCGCATTTGAATAAAGCCAAGTTAAAGCCACTCGATAGCCACGAGTCGGAGTGCCGGCAATCAGCGATGTGCAAATATCGCGGCATGCTGTTGCACTTCTATCCGCTCTCTTGGCCCATGCTGAGTGGATCTCGTTTCTGGGCTGCATTGCTATTGCCAGCCAATGCTGATTTAATTGTTGCTCAGCACTTAGCTTTACTCAATACTAAGCTCTGCTCTGGCCAATTGCTTAATTGATTCTGGCCAGACAGGTAGCGTTAATGTCCAATGTCTTCACATCCGCCTGCCATTTGGCAGGCAACTTGGTAAAAAAAAAAACTAGGAAAAAACTGTGCGAAACATTTCGAATCAATGGGGCACACATGGCGCATACTTGATTAACGGCAGACCAATTGCAACATGACGCACATTTATGTGGCATTAGTGTCGCCTTCGATATTTTATTGTGCCATAAATTGGCAATGCAGATTCGATGGCACACAGTACAAGGAACGATAAGCGGGCCATAGCTGCCTTAATTCGCTCTCTGACCCACAAAGCGTTCGCGATCCTATCGCTGCGAGAAAATCTATTAGAGCTCAGCAAGCTGCACTGAGAAAAATAGATGCTTAATAGCATTAGAAATTGTTTTGAGAGTTTTTTAACAATTAGTAGTATTAGTAGAAGATTAATAGTTGGTAACTTTGATTGGTAAAGCTTGGAGCTTTTTTATAAATAAATGATAAAATGTATTCTGTTTTTGTCCCTTTATTTCTTTACATAACATATCAAATTTCTCTGTGTATAATTTTCGGCATGTGAAGGGTTTTGATATATCACCCAACCGGCACGCAATCGCGATAGCATCGGACACAGCTAACGTGCGGTTTATGGACTGCTCGGTCTCAAATAGAATGTAACCAAAGTGCAGCTGCTGGCCAAGTAGTGGAAAAACCAACTAAATTTGGTTTCGATCTCCATAGCCAACTGACTGATAACCGAAGCCGGCAATCTGACGCTTTTAACAGCTTATTAATTGGGCGGCCGCCCCTTGCAGATTTATACCTGGCCAACTGGCGGCTAATTGCATACAAATTGCAATGGCTAAGCCAAATCAGTGAGACGGAGTTAGGAGCCAGCGACAAATTCAATGCCAGGCTTATTGACCGAAAATGCCGCTCAATGCAAAAACTGGCTGCAGATTGCCATTGATTGTGCATAAATCAAATGGAAACAACTTTTGCCTTTTGACGTTAATTTTACACGAGAAGAAAAAAGATAAGTAAATTAGATCAAAGTCTGAAATGTTTGGAAACCAATTAAAAAAGTTCTAATAAAAAAGTTATTACGCTAGTAAAGAGATTACTCAAATATTTTTCTTTAGTTAAGAGTAAATTATTTTAATACAGAAGTTTTCTTTCTGTGAGCGGAGCTTTGTGCGTTGGCTCTGGGCGAACAAGCCGACCGCCTTGACTTTCTTAGCCGAGTCTGAAGTGCACTTCGCCGCGGCGTCTGAGCATCCTCAGCAAATGACAGGGAGTTGCGAGTGGGCCACGTGAGCAGCAGACAGACACCTTTCACCAGTCTGGGTCCACCGTAAACAGATTCCCCCAAAATAGCTGCAACAATTACCAAATTTTGTGCTCATACTTTAGTTTAGTGCTGCCGGCACAGGCATTCAATGGCTCGGCAATGCTTGGCAATTGGCACATCGTCTTGATCATCGTCATCATCATCATCATCATCATCATCATCAATTTGAGTGCGAATGTTGCAAGCTCAAAATATAGAAAAAAAAATGTTTTGAAAAATAAAACACATGAGCACTCCACTTGGCCTGCCTACAAATGAGCCAAGTGATTATTCGGGTTCGGTTTTTGAGTGTTGCATTGCCCAGCATACCGACATGCAGCATACTTGTGCTTTATTTAAATAGTTTTTCCGAAAAAAATATATGTAACTGACGGTTGCATCTGTTACTGTTACTGTTCAATTTGCACCGGTGGCTCACAGTTTTGCAGCCAGTTGCCACATAATTTCTGACGAGTGCACATACAAATCAAAGCCAGCACGCGATTTGGGTTACCAGGGCTCTCACGATCCCATTCGAGAGATCTGCTGCGAATTGCGTCGACAGCCCCTGCATTTCAATTAGCAATCTCTGCGGTTGGTTCTCTGATAAGCGGACAGCGCCGCCTTGATCGCAGCTTTTCACTTTTTGGTTCACACGCTAGTGGGCGGGTTAATTAAAGGGCACACTGGGAAAAATTGTCTAAACTTACGTCTACTTCTTATTACAACTCTATAAGCTTTGTTGCTTTCTTTTTTAAATTTCTACAGAACACAATTTTAAGTAAAAGCAATCACCTCTTTCTGATCTTAGTTCTCTATTGGATACCAAACTCCAATAAGTTTCGTTTTGTCATTACTATTTGCTACACTTTCTCGGCCTGTGAGTCAGCATATAAATAAAAATAAATAAAATATTTTCACCCAAACAAAAGACGCCTACTCAAGCACTATTCAGAGGCCCAAAGATTGTAGATGGGGCACGTAGTTGTATCATCAAATCAGTGTAAATAGGAGGCCCACCCCTGGCGTCCATTCATAAAGAGCGGCACGTTCGAGCACTCGTCCACTCAATCAAACCATCACCATCCTCTTCATGATCCATGATCCCTGTTCGTTCAACTTTCTTTTGTTACAACATCAATCAGCGATGTTCGCGAAATCAAAGCAACATCAACAGCCAGGGCGCAAAATAAAAATAAAAAAAAAGAAATATCTAATTTACGAAAATATACCGAAAATAGAAAACCCATTGAGGAGTCGGTCGTTGTGGGCAGGCATGACGTGAATTTGGTTTTTGAAAGTGAAATGATTTTGAGTAATTTACGTTAATGTAGCGCATTAATGGCGCATCATCAGCAGCATCCGAAAAGAAGGAGATCTTCGAGTCAAAAGTGAATGTTGACCAGCATTCACTTTAAGAAATCGAGCAGTTGCAAAATATTATTATATGTACCCAAAAGATACATCCATCCAATACTCGTACA